GACAGAAGCAAGTGAAAAAAGAAGCAAATGGAAGACACACAGAAAGTAGTAGTGTTAACAGTAGGAACACGGCAACAAATTGGGCACTTTTTCCTCGAAAAGGTCGAAAAGTCGGGCGACTTGCACGGTTTTGCACTTATGATTACCGAGCAAGTCTCACAATGAGAAATGCGATACGAAATAGACGTTCTGCAGCTCCCTTACGAGAGCTGGACGATGACGGAACAGATGCGAGATAAAAGCGAAATAAATTGAAATGATAGGATGGATCGTATGCTTGCATCGCCACCCGCACTGACGATCGATAGTCCCGCCATCAAGAACTACGAGATTCAAAGATCAAAAATATTTTCATAGGGGTGGTCCAAATTGATCAGAAGAATCGATCAGAAGCGAATCATAACTCCGACCCCCCCCCCCAGGGGAGAAGTCTTGAGTTAGTGAAAAATCGTTGAATTCGCCCACACGATCACAAAACCCTTTTGATTCAGTGGCAAAACGCCCATGTGACTTTTGTATACTCATGATAACAGTGTTTATCTTCCTGCAATGTGCCCTTGCAGCGTGCCTGCTACTTGGAGACGGAAGGAATAAATAGAGCTACTAAAACTCCTACTAACTAAGGGTCAAAACAAACAATACACTCCATATCCCGGACATGAAGTGGGTGTGGCTAAATTCTTCATTCGAACCGACAGGGTTGCGCTTCTTCTGGGCTCCTCTCGTTTTGGGGCAGTCGCAGTAATGTCTTTGTCCAGCAACAGACAGGATCGAATTTGTTTCAAATGGAAATTTCCCATGAAAAAAATATCCAGACAACCGATGGCGAATGTTCATTGATCTTGTGGCAAGACCTTGGAGCCTTTTTTCAAAGACTTTTCTCTTTAAAAATCATAGAAGGGTTCAAGTTGTTTTTCAGCTCATGGTAGGCGTTGTTCTTACAAATTGAAACCCCAACAAAGTTTTAATATCTTGAAAAGAAAACAAATGATAGAACATCCTCCCGGCAGTCATAAAAATCACATCGTAGAGGCAATAGAGCATAGATTCCTTGAATATATTGTGTATGCCCTACAATAAAGGAAGTTGTGATTAGAAGTGTACTGGTTTTTAGTTTTAGTTGTGTTTTATTGTTGACTGTGCTCTGTCGCGTCAACCGAATAAATAAGTCCCAAATGCGATAGTCGAAAACTGCACTTTCTATGACCCCTCACGAAATGTATATGTTACTGCTTACGAAGAGGTTCCTACCGCAGGATTACCACAAACCTGTACTGCTTGTTTGTACTCTGACCTTTCGGGTCCACTCAACGTCATACAGGTTCCTTGAAGCTTCACTGAACTTATACACAGTTTGTACTTCTAAGTTGCTATAAGGACAGAAGATCAATACTCTCGTGCCTAACCATGACAGTCTGGGCAAGAAGCTCCGTAGGCTTTTGACGTTGATAAAACCGTTTAAAGATTCCCTATTGGAATCCTTAAATCCATATCGATAAGATCTGATAAGAGGCGTCAGAAAGTGAAGGTCACCGAGTCCATAGCGCGGGTCACAGCAACAGTGGGACGTTGGTTCCAAGGTATGATATAGGGTGTGGGACAGGAACATTATTGGTGGGTGACAGGGAATGATATCAGCTGATAAGATCTGATAAGAGGCGTCAGAAGGGGAGGGGTACCGAGTCCATAGCGCGGGTCACAGCAATACTGGGACGTATGTTTCAAGGTTGATAAGACTTAATAAGGGGAGTCGGAATGGGAAGGTCACCATACGCATAACGCGGGACACAGCATCAGCTTCGCGTTGATTTCAGCTGGGGACGGCGACGGCGGGTGACGGCAAGTGATAACAGATAATAGGCAAGATAATTGGTAAAGCGGGTCGTACCAGAGGCGAAAAGAAGTGCCCTGATCATAGCTCGAATCTCCAAGCCCTTCTAGAGGTCCAAAGTATCCCCTAAACGCAGTGTGCACGATTGCTGCGGGCAGTTGTTACCAGCGTCACTGGTGGAAGGGTTGCTAGTAAGCGTTTGGTCACACTTCACCCAACTCTTCCACCACTGACGTTGGCGACACCGGCCCGCCTCCAGCAATTGTGCAAACTGCGTTCAAGGGAATCACTGTCATCGATGAAAAGAGCCATATTGTAAAATAGATATTGCAGATCGATCGATATGACAAGTTCTATGAAAACTTCATTTTGAGCTCAAAATGATGAATAAATGAAAGTTATTAGAGGTTAGTCAACAATTCATAACAACGTTATAAACGTAAATAAATACTATCATACAAATACATGAGTAATTACACTTCAAGTGTCAAAGAAATGACCAAATATCAAAAACATGTTAGCCATGCTAAACTAACAAGTCTAGAAATGGGCTCTTCTCAGATAAAACGATCAATATACAAACGTAGTTCAAAATTCCATTTCTTCATCAGATTCTTCACTTTTTGGCACTTGTTCATCCGAACAGTACGCTCGTTTTCTACTCATATCAAGCGGCTCTAATTGGTCCTTCGTGTTGGGACTGCCGGAGACCTTCTGCTTAAGAAAATGATATTTCTTACCGAACTAGCTAAGAATAAATTGTTCACAGCTATAGAAGAAAAGCGTTATTTTTGTTCGTTGACGACCGCGAATCGCTTCAAATAGTCAACACGGAATGACTGATTGGCTCATGGTGGGTATAAGATCCTGTGAGCAATAGGGAGTCTCCTAATCAATGACCTCATGATGGCTTTCAAGATCCTCACTGGTAGAGCAACGGTCAAATCGGATGAATTCTTTACTTTAGTCACCTCTAGGAGTAGAGGGAGCACTATCAAGATCAGGGCCCCTGTATCGAGAACGCAAGTCAGGTCTAAATTCTTTGTGATCAGGGTGCTTCACTTATTGAACAAAATTTTTGGCCCAGATATTTTCCAAATGACACCTGGAGCCTTTCGTATAAGGGCCACCAGGCTAGTTAATTCAGAGGTCTCCTAAGTTCTCACATTTATGGGATTTGTCTTACTTCAATTGATGTACTTGCCGATTGTGATTGTACAATTATGTAGCGCAGTTTCACTGCGTCCACAAATAAATAAATAAATAAATAAATAATCCGGTCTTCACGATGACAAGCTAAAGTGAAAACCTTTAGCGCTTTGAAATGGGTGGGGGGAGGGGCTAGATCGAGAAGCTCATCAATGTTACAGCACGCGCAGCACTCCGTAACTCTTTCTCGCCGCGACTGAAGTGTGCGCAACGAAAACGTGCTATAGTGGTGTAGATCAAGACATCCAAAGCGCGGCGCCACACGCGAACTAGCCGAGCACTCCTCACTGGTGGATTCCACTGATCACTTTGACGTCAAACCAATTATGCAGACCTTCCAGGGCATGCCATCGCGTTGTGTAAAAAACTGCTAAATTATAACCTCCTCCCCTGGAGAGCAGGCCTCGGTCGGACTCCAAAAAAGACAGAAAAAAACAGATAGAAAAAAGAGCTGAAATCGGATAACTGAATTTCGAACGTTCGCGCGTGCTCAGAATTTGCGCGCGAACATTCAAAAGGCTTTCTACGGTTGCACTGGAGCGCTCTACGCGATATGTTGCCCACGAAAACCCAAGTGGGACAGTCCACGAAAACCCTTGCGTAGAATTGTGTAGAACTTCTGAAGCGAAAAAAACCTCTCGGTTCGTTACTACTTACTCGTGCTCGAGCTACTCAGAGCATTTTCTTTGCAAGAAAATATTCCCGCTATTTCGTCATTGTTTCAATTCACTGACACCTAAAAATTTTCATGTTTGAATAGCCATAAGTTTCTTTAAATGTGACCTCCTAAGAAACCTGTGCCAACTCGTTTGAAAAAATTCTCCATCTGTTCTGTTGCGGACATTTTGGGCGACACAAGAACCCACCCTACTGGCAACATCATTTCCAGATCGTTCAAGGCCTCAGTATACCTCTACAACACATCTTTCCGTGAAAGTTGTCAAGAAATAGCGCGACACCCCTTCTGCTGCGCCATGCATCCGACTTCCACGCAGAGGTGTTGGAAAGGTGTAACCTTCAGGTAAGGCTTCTCCGTGAAAGCAGATGTGCTCCCACGGTCCAGGTGGTCCAGAAGTAAAGGGTTGTTTGTGTAAAGATTCAGAATGTCATCACGAGCGGCTGCTGTACTTCTTCCACCTGTCCCCCTTTTCTGAGTTCGCAGCTTGCATCTGAATTCAGGTGTTCTTTCCAAGAGAACCACGAATAACTCTTATCATTCAACGGCTGTACAACATCTCAGTATGGCCGCACTTCCCACTTCTGAATAAGCCCTGCCGCTTACGACCCCTCATCGCGATCAAATGCGACACCCCCCCCCCCCTGTTATGATTTCCACAGCGATGGCGTGTCCAACTATATGACAAGAGAATCGTATTCCGCCGCGTCGGCAGGCGTGGCGAGCGCCGCACCGCAAGAGACGAGTTCATTTGCCCAAAGGGTAGGAAATGGCTGAAAACTTGTGGAAGTGGGCGGAAATATGAAAAAAAATAAAAAATATGCAACGATTCCCACGTAATTCGCTGCTCCAATCGAAGAAACGCACATTTTGAATTCCCCGCGCTCATAGCTGTGCGACGCCTACCTTGAAAACTTCCCACGCTCATCGGCAGATAGTGTAATGCGCGGCAAAATACGATTCTCTTGTTCGTTCCCCGGCGAGCCCTGCTCCCAACGCGTACTCAGCCAAAAGAAATATCGAGACTGCGCTATTCTGGTGGCAAGAGCATGCGATAAATGTTAGATTTACAAAAAGGACTCAGCGAAGAAGTTCAAATCTATGTATGAAGCTACATGCATCATCCCCACATTAAAAAAACATTCTGCAAAGTATGACGTAGACCTCAAGCTACTGGTTTCTTGTTTTTATGACACAACCCATCACCATGTTGTTTCACCTACTACTATAATTTATCTATACGTACACCAAATAATTCCTTATTTTGCCAAGATCGCAGTCGATTCATCTTATGCACCTAACCCGTTGTAGGAATAGATATAGGAGACATACCGCATTGTAGGCGAAATCTGGATCCCAGAAATCGCAGTCAGGGCGTTCGTCCTACAAGAAGTAACGTCAGAACCGACTTCCCTTTCTTTACTCTAACACTACCCATTACTATTTTGCTTTTGTTTCAGAGAACTAGCTAGTAGAAGCATGCATAAGAACGAACCCCAAAGAACAATTGCTCGATGCTATAGGTGTCCGGTGTTTCGGATATATATTGAGGATTTCCAGTCATACGCCGACCATCCTCGGACACAGTGGTGACCACGTTGATTGTCTTGTCCAGTGCTCGAAAATATTTATCCGCCTTTTCGATAATGTCGAGATGGAGAATTGAGCAGCTCACAAATTCTGAATCATTTTCAGCTCACAAATTCTGAATCATTTTCATCTGATCAAATATTAACCCCAAGAGTACCTTCGAATACTTGCAGCTGGTACTGCTAAGCACAACGCTGCGATAAAAACACCAACCTCTGCCATGTGAATGGTGCAGCCTCGAATTTCGCCGCTTTCTCTAAGATAAAGTCGTACATTCGTTTGTTTTCAGAACCTTCACTCAAATCGACGGAATCTGGTCCTTCTCGCTGTCGATGCCACCGAACCATTTCGTCCATACATGACTGGAATGATTTTTTTCAAGATAGAAAGCGATACAACATTTACGAAAAATTTACGGAGAAATCGAACGAGAAAATTCACGAAAAAAAATAGGAGAACAATATAAACATGATCATTAACAGTTATCTACCGCTGACCCTCAGTGAGTGGAGTCCTTCACTGCTTCTGACCGCTCATATAGTCGTAAGCCCGGCAAACGACAGGGCATGTGAAGAGGCGTGAGCGGTGGATCGCAGCCAGAACAGCCAACTGCGGATTCGCGGTGGCATAATTGGTGGAAGGGCCGCCTTGGCAGCGCTTTAATCTATACCTCACGCTGTACTGTTTGGCAGCGATCACGACTGTAACTCGCTTCGAAGGTTCGAGTAGCAATTTTAGGTCTGCAGAATGAAACCGTCCTTCTCTACCTACCTCTACCTGGACTTCGTGAGAAATTAAACCCCACCGCTTGTAAGGTACACTCGAGATATTGTGTCAACACTTTGTTAACTTTGAATCACTAACAAATCAGTGAATAGTAATGTGATTGAAAGCGAAGAAACCGTCTGGACGGCAAACCCGCTCAGATCTTGAAGAGGCTTGACACCTCGATCAGGCTCTGGTGTTAACTAAGAAGTTCAAGGATCTACCTACAAACGCCAGATTTACACGTCGAGATTGACGGTATCTTCATTTCAAATTAGACACTTTTCAAACCAAATCGGGCATTTTTTAAACTGACATTTCTTAAGCCAAATCGGACACACTATATACATTGGACAGTTGATTGGCTGGACCACACTAGGTGCTACTCAAGCACCACTCCAACATCCTCAGCCCACTTCTCAGCACGGTCATAGTTAGTGATCTAATAACGTTAATTACCACTCTTTCCTGGAGTTAGACTCAAGAGCTCTGGAATCTTATGGAATCTCATTCGCGTACGCTATACTTGAACACAAGTGAATACCAAGCACTGCGTGCTGGCAGGAATTCCCTTTAGATTTCTGATAAATTCATGTAACAAGCTTTTACTAATGAACTAAACAAATATTCCGAAGATTTGCAAAAGTTTACCTTAACTTTCCATAAGAACGCAGGTCGCACAAGCTCCCAAGGTAGTCGAGATTTGCCAGTTTCAGCTACGTTCTCGAAATAGACTTCTATGAAATGATCGGGATGAGTTCGTAGAGGCATAAAAGACCGCCGGACCAAATCAGACTGAAATCGCATACTGCTTGAAATGAAGCTCAAACGTGTAATGATAATAGGCCACATCCCACCATGCCCATCACAAGCGTAAATGCCCCAAAGTCCTGCTGCTGCTCCTGTTGAAAACTTTCATTTTGCAAATTTCACACGATCGCTATGCAGGTGAGAAAACTAGAAGACAGCGTTTCCCTGCCGTTTTTTTACTGTCTCCCAGCAGCAGGTGACCAAGTTGAAATTCTGGCTAGATTGAAGTGAAACCGTCGTCACACATGGTCTGGTAGTATTCTTGAATTACCCACCTCTTTTGGCACTACAAACTTCTCCAGAGCGGCTTTACATTTTGGTAAAGGATCTGGCAGTGGCGGCAACTCGAATTTGAGAACGTCTTCATTATAAGTGAAACCCTAAAAGAGAAAACCAACATGCCAACCACAAGCAAATTGACCTATGAAAAACAGAAATGATGACAATTCAACGAACCTCAAAACCTTGCGTTTGCTGTGGCGGTTTCTCATCTGCCATGGCACTCCCTTCAGATGCTGGAGTATCGAGAGGCTTAGGCTGCTCGTCATCATTACGTGGGTTCATAACAAACTACTAAAAAGGATGATGAAATCTTTTTAAAACGGCGCTTCGCTCATAGAATGACTATTACGAGGAGTAAAGTAAAATCGATAAGTCATCGACAGCATCGAGCTAATTTATATGACAAAAAGGTTGAAGAACAATATTTATTTCAAAAATGAGACAGTAGATGAACAAAAACTCTATATTCTAGTAGCCTGAGGGCTGAACATTCTCCGACGTATCAAGATCAATCAACCACTACATCTGCTTCGCTGTGTCTACAACGAGTCGACGTATGGAACTTCGTCGATATTTCCATAACTGGACAAAGAGAATTTGCTCGAAAGTTTCTTTGCCGCTGCCTCAACATCACCAGCCGTCACCTGAATGCTCTCGATACATTTTTGAGAATATCAGAAGGTATTTAATTGTATTTAACTCCTGTAAGTATAATATACCTGTTGAACTGCTTCAATAATGGCTCCCTCAGTAGTGAGTCCAGCAAGGATCTGAGTGGCACGATCGATGGAAGTTGGGTAAGCATGAGCAGTGGCCCGGAGAAGATCATTGGTAGTACGGCGTTTTGCAGCTACAGAAATCGAAGAATTAAACTGTAAGTGACGAAGAGCAGGCATAACCAAAGATTTTTCTCACCTTCAATGTCACTGCATTTGTAGTTCTTGATGGCTGAAGCAGCAGATTTAACTGCTTTTCCTGCGTTAGCACCATCTGCGACGATGTAGACACCAGCGAGGCCACCGTCTTGGTAGGCTGCCTGGAATGCTGATGCGCCACAGGTACCGGCAACGGCTCGAAGAACAGCAGCATTCCCCACGGATCCGGAGAATCTAGGTGAAGCGCTCAACTGAAATACGTTGGAGCCTATAAGATAGACATCAGAACTCACTGTACAGCGGCTGATCTGCCCAGAGATGTAAGCAGTACTGCTTGCACAGCCATCGCTTTGGCATCACTTAGCGACGCTCCTTCACCAGCCAGCATAACGTGCGCCATTGAACCACCAGCAGGACGACGCCACTCTCCACCCTTTACAAGATCATCGTTACCTTCTGCACTAATATTTGAAGTAAAACACTTACCTTGTACGGGCTAGCCACAGCATCAACCTTCTGTCCATTGGCAATGGGAGCATGACTATCACCATAAAGCACCATCCGCTCATGCTCGATGTTCATCCCGTACAGAACAGCTTGTCCAGTTGTTAGGTGCTTGGCCTAGGACCATTAATTTGAGTGTATAGAAGAACAAGAAGATTTCTTGAAAGAATAACCATATTCTTACAGCAAATTCAGCCAGGGTTTTGTAGCTGATTTTGCCAATAGAGGTTTTTGGTGCATACACGGATCGCGCCAATGGTCCACTGCGGTAGGCAGCACGGTGCAAATCCTCGTAAGCCACGTTGTAAGGATCCTTGTAAGCGTTGTCGACTTTAAGAGCAGGCAATGTTTGCTAAATCAGAAGATAAAACGATTTTCAGTACAGTTCAGGAGAAAAGAAGCTCCCGAACTCACATCCTCAACCTCCCACGGTTTGAAAGCTGGTTGCGCAATGTGACCAAGTATCGAAATACCGACTGAGGTCTCGTCTCTGGGTAGCGCCAGCGATACACCGTAGATATCGCGGGTTGTAAAAGCCTTCTACAAATAAGAATCGTATAAAGAGCCATTCATAATGTCTCCATCCAGCAAATAAATAAAAAAAACTTACAACACGTCCACCGCTTACAGCCGAGCTCCAGATTAGACTGAGACCAGGATAGTTCGCCGAATCCGTTCCGACGGAGTCACGCAGATAGTGCACTAGACCATGTTGATTAGCGCCTTCATATCGTGAGCCAGCGCGGAACATAAGCACCTCAAAATATAATAAGAACTTCACGCTAAATCTTGTAAACGCTAAGGAACCCTATGGACAAACTGTCAAACCCTAAATGAGCATGCGTAAAAAAGAAGCAGAAGCATGGCGTGTGAAACGGGCCAAAGTTCCCGCAAAAGCGGTGCTGGAAAACAACCCGTTGAAATCTAAAGGAAGGGAAATGAGGGAGTACGGTCAAACAATGTTATATTTAACACGTAGTTTAGAAGTGAGATTCCCAGAGCGGATATCCAATCAATGGCTAGATTTTTCGTGGGATCTGTTTCTAAGATCCCACGAAAATTTGCATATTTATCTATTGCAAAGATCGGGTTTTGTGATCCCGCTGAAACACAGAGAGAAAGCACAACCAAGCAATCCATACATACATAATCCTTCGGCGAACCCTGGATGAGGCAAACTATAACTTCTTGAATGTTGCGGATTCAGATGAAAAATTGTTCCACCGACTTCCTGGTAGCTCAAATCTGCGCCCGAGCTACTAAACTTTTTGAAAGACAGAGGGTTGATGGTCAACCTCTTCCAAGATACACTCCGCTTCCGTACAAATAGCGTGACTTAGTGAATGCTGCATGGCCTATACAATGACTTGGGGGGGGGTACTTGATATACATGGCAAGACTTTTATCCCCCCGCCGGGGGCCGGTTCAATATCTGACCCTTGGACCGAGCGCATGGTAAGCACATCACTTGGCACTACACCACCTCGGCTCCAATATGCTTCTTGCATACGCAAGACCTATGTACAATAAGCACTACTGTGGGTACCGTATCATCGCCAACGGAAAAAAATGTCAGATGAAGGAAACAGAAGATAGCCAAGAGGTACGTGATCAGAGAAAATATTCTATCCACCAATTTGCTTCAAAGCACTCTCTAATTTAAAAAAGATAACGATAATTAGATGCAGAAAACTCACCAGCTGACTGATGGGACCCTGATGGTCCACAGAAGCAACGGTTAGTCCACTTGGCAACTTCGTCAGCTGTTCCGCCTAGAATTTGTGGATAGAAACATGGGAAACTTCGAGCTACTAAATAACCCACCTTACTGGTAGCAGCACGTGAAGCAGCTGCTGCATGAGCACAACGAACGGAATGGCGGGATAACATCGTTCTTGAACCCTAGACAATAGAAAAATCACAAAGCCTACAAAAAAGGTTAACACGTTGGCAGAGAAGGATATAGCACTGGGAAAATTACCAGTGTGAAAAAAAACGAAAGATTTGATTCTGAAGGTGTATTAACAAAAATACACATGACAAAAGCAATCAATAACAATCTATACAACTAGTCTATCCTATACAACACGGAGTCTCATGTGCTGTAATGTAGTTAACTACTCTGAACACGCCCTGTGGAACGAGAAACGATTACCCGGCAACTATTACAAGCAGCAATAGTTAATTTATTGATAACTAAACAATATAAAGAAAGGTACAATATGAAGGCAGTAGTAAGTAACTTCCTCATTTGCATAACCAAAAACACTTCGCCGTCATCTATCAGCTGAACATTTTATCTCTTAGGTAGTAAAAGTAACTCAAGACAGGAATAAATAGTCAAACAGATCTCACTATCGTTTAACAACTTCCATTTGGTTCATCCTTAGGTCGTTGCTGAGGTACAAAATTTGTGGTCGCTGGGCCAGGCCGGAAAACGGCAATTTTCTCGGCCAGCTTATCTTTGGCACTTTTCTCATCAACCAACATTCCTTCATCTCGTTGAGTCTAAACAGAGAAAGCTTAAAAATACCGACTAGAAATACTGAAAATTGTGAGAAAGGGGATGTGCAGGAACCTCAGCAATTAGCTGGCTAACATGTCAAGAAACTCCTTCGAATGTGACTTCCAGAGGAGTCCTTATACAGAGGTGTTCTCGATGTTTTCTTTTGCTATTTTCGTTAATGGAGAACCTCTTAACATTGCAGGTTCACACCATCACGTTACTCACATCACGCACTCACGGAGTGTGTCTTTAAGTCTACAAAGTTTGTGCTAACCTTCTGTATTGTGACTCTGAAGACGTGGCCATTACCATCGACTGTGAACACCGAATAGCCATCGTACCAACTAAGCTAAAACTAGTTCGCCTTTATTACAGTTAATTCACCTACCTTCTGTACTCACATTTTTCATGCGGTAATCAAATCTGAACAAACGAGGGTTCATGATGAGCCGTGGTAATGACACATAATTCACCCGCCAACGACACCGTACTGTACCATCTTCAATGACCGGTATAACACTAACAGTCTATAAGTAAAGAATCCTTCTCAATACTAAAACCACGTCCAACATTCGTCAAAATGTAGGTAGATACCTCCATCTGGACATGAGGCAATGTGAATTGTCCTATAACGCTTATCGTTCCAATATGCTGCATGAACTGATCAAGGCCGCTGAAAATGTGTACAAAAAAATGAAACCAGAAGTCCGACAAATATTCACTCACTATCTAGCCACAACTTGTTAGGATCCCACGTATTTCAGCTCAAAAGTCTTGAAAAATAATGCGTAAGTAAAAAGCCTACCCATTCCTCCTCTGATTAGCATAACATTCCCGAAGAGCCACTTCATCTTTTGAAATTCTCTGTTCAGGTACACGAGGAACCGGTGGGTGCGTTTGAGAGCTTGAGCTTTGAAGGTCGCAACAACCCAGAGTCGAAGCTATGTGGAGGGATAGACAGGATAGGCCACAGTGAATACAAGTGGGACAGCTTCGCGTCATGAAGTTGAAGGGTGGCATAGGAGCAAGGCTGCTAGAGTGACCCCACCTCAACCAGGTAACTCCCCCTTCAGAGTCGACGTCTACCACCTTGTTCGTTTGCGTGCTCTCTCGCACCTCTCTCAAAAATTCTCACGGACCTCCTGACCAGGATCAAAAGCAAGAAGCAAGACTTCACTAAGGATGTTTTGACAGTTTTGGCTGGCATTTTTTTTTTCATTGGTAAGCCAACAAATAAGTACACTTTGTCTCTCAACGACTCGCGAAGTGCCTCGAAGACACATTACGCGATTGCAATGAACAGACTTTAAGTGGTGACTTAGTACATAGCGCAGACCACGATCATTTCACCAGAAGAGGCAGTTATGGGGGGGGGGACAGGCAAGCCAAACATGACTCCCTCTTTCGAGATTCGAGCTAGGTAAAGCTGAATTTGCAGTACACAACACAATTCTCAAGTGAGGAGAACAACCAAAGTAACACCACTTACTGTTTTTTGACTCCAAAAATTTGATCATCACAGAAAACATCTTTACGATAGAACGTGTAATCTAGCCGTGCCTTGAACATCAGTGGTACCTACAACTGGTGATAACTATCAGCAAGTAGAGTAGAGGCAGAAAAAGAAACCTACAGTATCCACTAATCGCTTTTGTATATGTTCAAGTTGGAATGGTAACATCTTTACGATAGGAATGATCCACACATAAGGTTCGGCGAGAATATGACGCGTGTTCTGCTGCGGCTCGCAGTGCACGTGGCGCGTAACGCCGCAGCATTCGCCCCGCTCACGGAGGGTCAACTGTAACACCTGTAGAAATGTAGAATGTAATCGATAATAAGGAAAAAAAGCAAGATACGAGTGGGTTTGACCATATCGTGGGCATTTACCAGAAGCGCTGTTCAATAATATATTACATAACATCTTCTCATAAAAAAACAACATCTGAAACAATGATGGTAGACCATAAGCTCACCAAGTGGTAAGTATTGATCGACAACAAGTAAACAAAACTACAGGTTCGACCGAAATACAACCTAACTATGACACGATGACCTTCTAAGAACCCTATACGGTTCCCCGACGTTTTTCCTCTTCTAGTAATGCTTCAGCTTCACGACGAAGCTCTTTCTCTTCTATCTTCTTTCGCGTTTCTTCCTGTTCAGCTTTCATCATTTCCATCACTTTTGCACCTTCACGATCTGATGCTGTGATCTGAAGAAGATGGGATAATTCCAAGGATTGGAGAATAAAAGTTGAATTAAAATAATACCTTTCTGTTCACAATCTTATAGATATATCCTTCACGATTGATGTGTACATCAAGAGCTCCCTCGACTACAGTCACTTTAGGCTGGAATGAAGAAGTCAATTCAGGTGAGCGATAGAAACTCATTCGTCCCCACTTTTCATGTGGGCAAACTAGTGGTATGGCGCATAATTTTCTGATGAAGAGGAGTTTTTACTCGTACAAGGAGCACAGATTTGCAGCCTACTAGGGTAGCTGCTTTGTTCACTGGAACTTAGGGGAAGGCTCCAACCTGACGCATGGGGTGCTCTCCAGGCTATGCCCGAGGTCCCTGCCCACAACGTAGGCGGGGTAAAACTTTTATGATTAAGGTGATGTGATAGAAAAAATGCCGAAACCCTCATGATACCAACAGTTTCTTTTTCATATTTTAGCATCATTACCGGCAATTGCTATACCACCCTGGTCCTTTGAAGGCAATGCTCGAACGCTTACAAGGGAATGGTTTGAACTTCCCATGGAACTTTGAATGGAGACCTAGGTACATCGATAGAGCTTCGAATGCTGATTACGAATATGCAGATTAAAAGTGCTACGGGGACCTCCCAGACGAGTTCTGGGCGGTCAAATTTGGCGAAAACTCGGTTTTGTCTCGTAAGCGCTGCTGATCGATCACAGGGCAGTGCCACCGTGGCCTAGTGGTAATGATCTTGCTTTAAAGTCAAATGCTCGTGGGTTTGCATCCCATTGCGCGAATTTTTTTTGTGCTTCGTATCTCCATAAGAGCTTTCACTCTAATTTTCGAAATTCTTTCCGAGTTTACGGCCCAGCAGAGCAGGTAGATCAAGTAGATCAAGTATATGACGCAGTCGATCGAGTATTGATTGATCACTATTTGTCCTCTCTGAACTCATTACCCATCCGTCAAGCCAAAGTTTTTGCCAGAATCACAACTTGGCCAGAAACTCATTTCTGGGGTATTTTGACCCCCTGAGCACGGATATCACATCCGTTTGACGCGAAAACGATCGGTTCCCTCGTTCAGTTGATGACCACAACAACGTGAAAGGCTACAAGCGTTTTCTCGCCAAACGATATGATATTCGTTTTCAGGGGTCAAAATACCCCCAGGAATGAGTTTCTGGCCAAAACTTCGAATTGTCGGATGGGTAATGAGTTCAGAGAGGACAGATAGCGACAAATCCATACTCGATCGAGTACGTCATTTGATCTACTTGCTCTGCTGGGCCGTAAACTCGGAGGAATTTCGAAAATTAGAGTGAAAGCTCTTATAGGAGACGAAGCAAAAACTTTCGCGCCAACGGGATGCAAACCCACGAGCATTTGGCTTTGAAGCGAGACCATTACCACTAGGCCACGGTGGCACTGCCTGATGACCGATCAGCAGCGCTTACGAGACAAAACCGAGTTTTCGCAAACTTTGACCGCCCAGAACTCGTCTGGGAGGTCCCCGTAGCACTTTTAATCTGCATATTCGTAATCAGCATTCGAGGCTCTATCGATGTACCTAGGTCTCCATTCAAAGTTCCATGGGAAGTTCAAACCATTCCCTTGTTAGAAACGAAGGTATTAGTCAACTATTACTACCTCAAGAAATCGAAAAAACTTCAGCTGAAACTTTGCCTACATGGGTTACTCGATGCCCTTATTACGAGAATGACATTCGTTTTCTGGCGCTGGCGTCATTTGACGTCAACACTCTTCCCATCAAATTCGGTATAAACTTGGACATTGGAGTTATTCGTAGCCCTGATCACGAATATGTGATTCATTTTTAGCCCTGGCGCCATTTGGCAGCAAGTTGTTGCCACGCCCTCTTCCATCAAAATCGATAAAAACTAGAGTAGTTTGTTTGATGCCTTGATCACGATTATGGTTTTCAGTTCTCAACATCAGTGCCATTTCGCGTCCTCCTAAGAGCGCGTTCAGACTTCGCGATCCATCACGCTACTGTGGGTGAAATTACACCGGGAGGGGAGCGTCATGTTCGTTCTGCTTCAACTCAAACTCAGCAACAAACAACAACAAAGTTCTGGGAAGGGAGTCGTACTGATATCACCATTTCTCACATCACGATGCTGTATCCTGCCTCCAATAGGCAGTTCCAAAAACGATATAAAAGTAGTTCGACCTTTTTGATGTCTTTTATTCCGTGTTCATATTCGCAATACTGACGTTTGCAGAAACCGTCGAAAGGAAAGGTTGTGTATAGACCTGGAGCGACGCAGAACAACAAAGCAAACACAATGTGACAAAGTAAAGTGAATATCTGGAGGACTGGCAAAATCGGGGGAAGGGAGAGAAACAACATCACCCGCTGTTGAAAGTTCTGCGTGTCTTACTTTTGGAACAAGATGTTCAATACTCCGCTTGAACGTACTCAGATGCAAAATTCAGTATAATTAGCATATTGTATATTTGCTGCTTATTTTTTACATAGGAAATAATAAATAACTCAAAGATATTTCGAAACGTTCCTTAAAATTAGGAGGGCGTTATGTACACAAAGGAAGAAAGAAGGAAAAGGAAAAAAGAACAGGAACAATAAACATGAACGAACATGACCCCCTCCCGGTGTAATTTCACCCACAGTAGCGCGATGGATCGGATGGATCGCGCGATCACGAAGTCTGAACGCGCTCTAAGCCTGAGACTGGGAGAAGGAGTGATTCTCCTTTAGGCCAGGCTCAGCCCTAGCAGGGCGTAGAAACCTCCACCAGCACCGGCGCCAAGAATGAATATAATATCCGTAATCAGGATGTTAAACGACTGAGCCGTGTACAAGTCCACATGGATTTCGTTGATTGTCTGATAACTGAACGACAGGCTACTAGTAGTAGTAAAAAAAAGACCGTACCTCTCTTTTTGTGATGAAAGATGGAAAGTACGTCCAAAAGTTGGATTCTAACGTACTTAGCCGCCATAATAAAACGATAACATCTTCATTTTCATAAATACAAGAACCAATTCTCTGAAAACCTTAGGTTCCACGTCTTGCTTTACTCGAGTCCTTTAGTATACAACAAACTAACCTCCACTTTATTGTAGGGCGATCGATAACGAAAATATAACCTTAATTTTGCGATATGCGTGAACAATTGCGATTTACTTGTAAATTTGTAATTGTAAAGTTTATCTTCAAACGAGACGTCTTCCAAGCAAATGTCGAAAAAAGGTTTTAACCGCGATTTTAAAATAGCCGGAGTCTGAACGATACAAACCTCAACTCCATATAAAAACAACTGAAAAGTGCATCAGTCTTACTCACAAGATGTTCTAGGACCCAGTCCACCCGAAAAAGTGTTTCTTTTGATGGAACATTAGACAGTACATTGGCAGAACAATATTGCTTTTGTGGCGTCACATGAGATCGGAAGCAAGGAGCAACTTAAATACAAAAAATTGTCAAAATTGTACAACATAACCACTACGACTTCTTAAAGGGAACCTTGAAAAGAGACAGAAGGTGTAGCAATATTGCAAGGTCTGAATAGAACTGAACCGATGCAATGAGTAGCTCGTAAGCTTCCCAACACCCCTTTCATTCCTAAAGCCTGCAATAATTTTTAGTCATTAAAAAATGGTGTGAACGTTTGCATTGCGAAATATATGACAACAGAACCCGGAATTGTTGTCCAGACCGCCTGAATTCGAAGTGCAACTGGCGAGAAATAAGCGTCACGACACTCCAACACACAATGCCGCAGCAAGTGTAAGCCTTTTCTTCGTAATGATGAATGTCGTAAGCAGAATTG